TATATATATATATATATATATATCTGCAAGAAAAAAAAATGATATATTGAGCAGGATGCAGAACCAAAACTATATTAGCAACAATATAAAGCGTATTGTTGTTCACGTCAAGCTCATAACCAAGACCAAAATAGGTGATAATGAATTATGAATGTAAAGGGGACTAAAAAAGTTATAAAGAATAAAAACAATTTACAATGACTTTAATCATATGTACAAGCTTATTTCGATAAATGTTCTTAATACTTTAAATGAATTTAATTTTCATATAATTTTATTATTAAATAGTTTTATACCACCTATAAATTAAAAAAAATTCTAGATATATCTTTTAAAACAAGTATCATAAAAGCTAAACATCTTTTAATGCTGTAATTTTAAAGTCAATAGTGTTGTCCATAATAGCAACCAAATAAAATAAATTCTATTTTTATAAAATATATCACTTTTTAATTTATTTATTTTTTAAAAAGTTCAAACAAATATGCCAGCCTTAGTAGAACACAGACTGCCTACGGTAGAATCCATAAATATTTTATATAATCGATATTGTTACTCGGTAACTCGATCAATATTCAGCTCGGCCTATTTTATTAAACCAGAAACAATTTAGGACATATCCATAGAGTAATTCTTTAGCAATTTATTTTAACACAGGAACCATTTTTTAATATATTTTATATTAAAATTAAATTTTTGAATGTTAATGAAGATGTAGAATGAAGAATAAAGATTCAAATAAAATCAGTCATCCACATTTACATGCTTGTAATGGTGTGGGCTTCCTTTCTTAGGGCCATGAGCCTTTGTCCTCTGTTTCCTCTTTCCATAATAACAAAAAAGAAAAGATGCAAACTGAATCATTCATTATCCAAATTTGCTTTTTGTATGTAAAGCGGGGCATACCTTATGTTTCAAATAAAATGATTTTGTTTTGCTGGTCAAAACAAAAAAAATAAACTCATCCAAATTTACTCTTACACCTATTATCGACAACGGTAATTTGTATGTCACTCAAACATTTTCCCTAGGCTGACAGTAGCATTACATGTGCTATGATATTGTTAATGATAATCGTAGATAAAAGGGAAACTTGGTATTCCTTATATTTTTGTTCTCAGACAATAGTTGGAAAAATAAAGTAGATTATCGTCAAGAGAACGAAAGTGAACGCAGAAGCATGAGTAATCCCTGATACTATATTGAAGAACAAATGATATGAATGGCAAAAGAATGGCACTTCATATATTGAGGACTTATGTATACAGTATACATACACAGCTTATAAACTTTCCACTGCACGAGAATGACACTTCGTATATCGGGGACGTATGTACATGCACAGCTTATAAGCTTTCCACTGTGCAGCAGTGCAACTGAAAAACAACACATCTACTAGCAAAAAACTAACTTCTAAACCTCGTCAAAAAACCAAACACATGTTAACGGTAAGTAACAAACTCAGATGAATTAGCCAACTACAAAAGGCAATACACTGCACAAAACGAAGTCGGGATTTCTATCCCTTCCCTCACCCCGACCATAACTTGTTTTTTTTTTTTTTTTGAAAGAGAAAAGGGTTCAGTGGCTAAGCTAGTGATGAAGATTGTTTTTTCTACCTTGAAGCAAGTGGAGCAGAGAGATGCTTCCATTTGATATTTTAGGATCATGTGCAGCTAACTTCCTTGAGCTCCTATTCCCCTGCAAATCACACAGTTTATGTCTTTACTTACTCCTAAATCACTATCCTTTCTCAGATTTAACATAATTGTGCTGCATCAGGTTAGCATTATTTGAAACTGCATTAATCTAAATTTGAATATTTTTATATGGTACCTTTCTTGGCTCAGATTCCTCACAGAGATCAAAGGTTCTCAAGTCCCTTGATAACATAGATGAGGAAGGCATAAGTGTCCTGATTTAAGCAAGCACAAAAATAAAAATTACGATCAGTAAATGCTGAAGGAAAAACTATGCATGACAAGGTTGAACGTTTAAGTTAAACACCACTTTGATACTCTTCTACCATAAATAAACCACGGACCTTTTTGGCTTAGGAGGTTTTCGGGAGTTATCAACACCAATCTCAACACGTGGATCAACCACAAGGTTATGTGTTTTAGTAGATGATACATCTTTGGGCGACGATGGATCCAAGATGTCATCTTCTGTTAATGATGAAGGAACGAACAACTCCTGCAAGGTTGATAACAAGGAACAAAGATGGATTTTTTTTTTACAATTTTCTGACACTAAATTGATCGATATATATAATTTGAAGGACTAACTTGGTGTTTTATTCGCCCAAAAAGTCAGCATTTAAGCCATAATTGAAACATCAATATTTAAACATCCCCCAAGATAAAATATGTAAAAACAATCATGAACATTAATTAGCAATTTAAACTTCTAGGTTTGGTAGTTATCAACATGATAACTAAACCTTTGTGACAAACTAAATTGGTGTTTGATCCTTGTTAAATTCAAGCAGCACAAGGTTAAGATGAACTTGCGCATTTCTAATCCTTCAAATTTATGAATAATACATTATCTTTTAATCTTAAATTATCCCAAAGAGCTTCTGAATATCAATTAAAAAAAGTGACAAAAACGTGTGTGCTAAAAAAGGGAAATTCAACTCACACTTGGTATCTTGGTCTCGGCCTCAACCTCCAAAGCATTATGTCTTTGTTTTGACGAGGACACCAAAATTTTCCTATATTATTACACCGAGTAGGAATTTAAGAACAAACATGTTTGTTCAAGGACAAAAAAAACCGGTATAAATCACATACGAAGGATATTAGTCACTAGACTAACCTGTCTGATTTTTCAGAATCTACCTGTGTACCGGAAATACCAGGCATAGACTCTTCATCTGACTGGTCAGGTCTAGGCTCAGATGATGACTGTGTATGAAACATTTCCTGGAAAGCATGGAAAACCAAATTAATTACATACTAATATGGCAATCTGAAGCTCTCATATTTTTAAGGGAAAAAAAAAAACTAGTCGGTGAATCTTTACTTGTGAAATACAAACACAAAGCAGTGTTATGTCAGTTAACACATCAGATGGGATGCCTCGTGTTGTACATTGAATAACAGTTTTACTTTAAAGTGTTGAAGCCTAAATTTAACTTCTGACAAGACATTATTAAAATCTAAACCCTCTAATAACTAGGTCACAGGAAGCTTTGAATTAAGGAAACAGGTAACCTAATTAACTAATTAAGAGGATCAAGCAAACTTAGGTTACCACTAGTTGAGTTTATTTCATGTCAATCTGGTTTCCTATACTATAGTATTGAACTGGTAAAATCTGAACCCAGTTAAGGCACAATCTACCCTTCAATGAAGAAACATGTAAAGTCCAAGCAAATTGACTTAAATACACGCATTATCATAAAGAGTTTACACTTACACTAGGTATCTTGCTCACGGCCTCAACCTCCAAAGCATGATGATCCCCTGCTTTTGACAAGGAGGTTGAAATTTCCCTATATCATTAAAACAAACAAAATTAAAGGAACAAGTATATTAGTTAAAAGCCAAGAAAAAACAAACATGAGTACACACAAAAGATCATTCTTAATAATACTAACCTATCTGATTTTTCAGAATCCAACTGTGTACAGGAAGTACCAAGAGTAGGCTCTTCAACAGACGGGTCAAGTTTAGGCTCAGATGATGATTTTGCATGAATTGATTCCTAGAAGGAATGGACAACCAAATAACATATATGATACATTTGCAATCAGAATTCTATTTGCATACATTTTCAAGAAAAAACTATGAGACGAACCCTCTCATGAAATACGCACACAAAGCATAGTTAAGTTGATTCAGACATTAGATAGGATGCCTTTAGTAGTATAACTGATTTATTCTGATGAGCTGAAGCCTAATTCAACTGATATAATAAACATTAAACTCAAAACCTGACAACAACTATATGTTAGAGGAAAGTAGGTGTTAGTGTTAGGGAAACAGGTTAGCCAATTAATAGGTTCAAGCTAACTTAGTTTGCCACTAGTTTAATTTATGTAAATCTCACTTCCTCAACTATATGAACGATCAATCTCAATCTCAGGCGTAGTACATCATTGAACTAGCAAGATCTTCAAGCAAGTTGACACTAAATTTCTCGTTCAATGAATTGAAACTAGCAAACTGACACATGCACGTACTAAACGAATGAAGTCAACTCACATTCAGTATCTTGCTCCCAGCGTCAACCTCCGAAACACTATGATGCTCTGGTTTTGACAATGACAAAACTTCCCTATATATTATTACACCCGGCAGAAATTAGGAACTGGCATATTTGTTCAAAGCCAAGAAAGATAACCAGGAAACAAATGTGAAAGATCACATTGGTCACAAGACTGACCTATCTGAGTTTTCAGAATCTAACTGCGTACAAGAAGTACCAAGCACGGGCTCCTCTTCATCTGACTGGTTAACTCTGGGCTCAGATAATGACTGTGCATGAAATGTTTCCTGGAAAGAAAGGATAACCAAATTACATTGTTGCAATCTGACTGAAATTCAACATATTTTTGGGGCAAGAAAAAAACTAGCGGGTGAACCACGTCATATGAAATGCACAAACAAAGCACACGGAGGGGATGATTTTAGCAGTATAACTGATTTATTTTAATATAGTGACCTACATGTACCTGCTAACAAGACATTAATCCAAAAACTAACAACAACTACACGTCAGAGGAAAGTAGGAGCTACAAATCAGGTTAGCCGATTAATAGGTTCAAGCTAACTTGGCTTGCCACTAGTTAAAATTACTCTATGTCAACCTGTCTTTCACAACTATACTGATCATTCTAAATCTCAAGTCTGGTTCATCATTGAACTAACAAGATCTGACATTTGAAAAAGTCAATTCAAGCAAACTGACACTTGTCATTTCTCCGTCAATGAATCGACTCAAACAAACCGACGCATTTTCTTATTAAATAAATGGAAAAGTCAACTCACATTCGGTATCTCAGCATCAACCTCCAAAGCACTATGATGCTCTGTTTTTGACGAGGACAAAACTTCCCTATATTTTACATTTTACACCGCGCAGAAATTAGGATCAAGCATATCTGTTTAACGTCGAGAAAGATAACAAGGAATCACATGTGAAAGATCACATTGGTCACAAAGCTAACCTATCTAAGTTTTCAGAATCTAACTGCGTACAGGAAGTACCAAGCACGGGCTCCTCTATATCTGACTGGTCAACTCTGGGCTCAGATGATGACTGTGCATGAAACGTTTCCTGGAAAGAGGGGATAACCAAATTACATATAAAATTTCAGTGACTAAAGTTTGCATATATTTTGGGGAGAAGAAAAAAACTTGTCGGAGAACTGTTTCATGTGAAACACACATACATAAAGCACAGTTATGTCAGTTCACACATTAGATGGGATGATTTTAGTAGTAAAATTGTTTTTTTTTAATAATTTACCTTCTTAACCTAGCAACAACTACATGTCACAAGAAAGTAGGAGTTAGCAAACCAGGTTAATCAATTAATAAGTTCAAGCTAACTTAGCTTGCCAGTAGCTGAAATGATTTCATGTCAACCTCAATTCCTCAACTACATGAACAATCATTTTCAAACTCAATTTATTGTTGAGCTGGCAAACTCGGAACTCAATTAAGGCAGGATCTCTCCATGAATGAACCAGCAAACAAAGTTCATGCATATTAACATTGACACATGAACTAACCTAACTCTTTGTGAACAAATCCTAATAACAAAGACTCATTGCATATAGGCAAGTCAAAAAAAAAAAAAAACAATTGCCTAAACGGACATCCTTATTTTCCCTGATGCTCAATAGTCATTTGATACAGTGACTTCAACCCATACAGAATATCGGTTCTTGGTGAATATATTAAAGGTGAATGAGCATCAATGAAAACCTCACTAATCTTCATACAAGAAAGCAGGGGAATTTAGGAATACCGTACTCAACCTGTTGGTCCCAATTATGTGGTTGGTCAAGACCCACTGATGAACATTCTTCAGGACCATTCTTTATTTTTACTCCTTTGCAGCAAGTACAACATGCCTTAAACTCGTTTAACTGTGTTTCCAACTCCAAGTATTTTTTCTTTTCATACCCAATGCTTTCTTTGAGACTTTCTATTTCTATTTCTGCAACCTGATAATAAAGTAATATATTATGTGCAGATAGATAGATTATCTACAAACATCAGTCGGAGCCCCTAATAATGAGAAGAAAAAAAATAATGATTAGTTTCAGCAAACATACTTTTTTTTCTTAATAGTTAATACCTTCAGTTTAGAATTATATTGCTTCAAAACACACCATATAACTTTAGCAAAATTCTGCATAATAATGTGGCTTCTCTCACTCCGGGTATGGCTATCACACTCTGGCTTGAAAGAGACTGAACTACTAGCATCTAATTTACAACGTGTTTCAGCATCTGTCACAATATCAAAGTCAGGACTCAGGATGATTGCTATGGATCCAAGGGACCGAATTTTTTTAAATAAGAATAAGTATAGTTTCCAGCATTAGAATGAAAAAAATTAAATTCACGATGAGACACTCAAAATGTTGAACATTGGGTATCCCATCTCAAAAGTCCAATGTTCAAATTGGATCTATGGGAAGGGGATACGTTATCCCTTAAACTTGTGTAACATCAGGTTGGGAGAAAAAACAGAACAGATAAATATAACCATTTTTTAAATGTGCCAAACTACCTTCCGTAAAAGTCTTCCTTTCTTCAACATGTTTTTCATCATTCTGAAAACAAGCCAAAAAAATATAATGGATTAATAAGTAAACTTGAAAAAAAAAATTATTCAGTCCTTAAATATATAATTAAGATGGTTCTACAAATGGAACATTGGAGCAAAATTGTGTTCATACAAATGAGAAGATGGTGATCATTTTGAGGGAATTTCAAATTGGTGAGGATAAAGGACACAAAGTATACAAACTTTATCATAATTGATCATGAGCACACCATTCTATGAACTATTTATCGGTCAAACATAATGTTATGGTGAACACAAAGATGATTGACTTCTAAATTCTTACTTTTATGTAATCTAATTAATCCTCTAAGTGCATAAGGTTAATTTGACCATGTTAAACTAAAAGGTATAGGATATATCTAACTGCTCAGCAATGATCCTCCGCCTTGTGTTCCCATATCACAAGTCCAACTGTTCTTTCCCCAAATGAACATCTGATTCCCTACTAGATAGACATTCTTAATACACCACCTTAATATTTTTCATGCATATTTCTGGCATTACATAGATGTAAATTGTCTTTTCAATACAACAAGTTCATAAAACCTCACCACCTATTTAAATAGAAAAATAGCTTATGCCAAGGGGTCAATGTCATCCACTATAAAAGAATGTTTGTGCTATCTATTCATACACCAAATGTTATACTTATGCTCTCTGCAGCACAAAATTTATACAAATTATTCAAATGCATTTTTATGAGAGTCACAACAATCTTCTATTTTAAACAAGTAGTCAAGCTTGGATGTAGAAGAAAACCTGTTCAACATGTTCACTTACAAGCCTCAGTCTCTTTAGATGTTCCGATAAAGGTGATAGTTTTGTATTATCCATTATGGATGAAGATTGGTAATGCCTTTTTTTGGAAACTATGTTCGGTGGTTCAACTTCATTGTACCTAACAGAAACGAACAGAGAAACTTAGAAATCAATATGGGGTAAGTATGAAGTCCAAGTAAGATAATGTGATGAAAATGAAGAGTTTCACTTGATCTGCATGTAAGGAGAAGCTTGTCTCAGTAAATAAGAAGTATCAAGATAATCTTCTTCTCCTGACTTTGCTGTTAAAATCTATGAACACAATTAAGTAAAAGTTAAAAAAAGGAATTGATGAGATTGATGATTTTGAAGAGGGGGGGGGGGGGGGGGGGGGGGGTGGAGAGTCAAATTTACATCAGAAAGGCATGTGAAACTCATGAAAAGAAAACCCCTGTATAGCTAAGCATAACTTTAATCAGCTTGGAGAAAATCAAGCATGAAAGTAGTATATACAATACATACCAAGGACATGCGCTTCTTGCCCTCCAAATAATCTCGCAGGTACCTGGTTAACTGCAGTAGTGGTTAACAAAGTCAAATTTGTTAAGTTGTAACTCTTCCCCATTTCATTGTCTAAAAGAGATTTATAAGCAGAGAAAATAAATAAGCTTTTAGCTTATGTTTGTTGATACTTGATATAACATTAGCCATCAAGAGATGGTAATAAAGATGACAACTAAAGTCCACCAAAATACAATAAAAATAAAATTATTAAAAACAATACCATAGAGCTTTGGAAGTGCTTCTGCAACGGCTTCTTGCGATTTTTTTGGTGCTCCAATAATGACTGAAATCAACAAAATCATACATAAAATATGAGGGAAGATAAAAGCAGAAAAGAAAAATATATTCGGAAAATCCCAAATGTTAGTAGTACTGTAAAAAAAAAAAAAAAAAAAAAAAAAAAAAAAAAAAAAAATTCTAGCCATCAAATGCACAATAACTTGGGTTCACAGTTTGAAGTATAGGCTACATACTCTTAGGCATAGGCCAAACACCATTAATGTGTTGTTGATAAAATTGCTTTCAAGCAATCTTGCCCCCTACAATATCACAAAAAAAAAAAGGATTGGGATGGAGATAAAAGCAAAATATTTAAAATAGTAACCAACCTTATCCTTCTAGGCAGGTCCACTGCATGGATCAACTAACCCCACAAGATTGTAGTCAAACATGCAAATGAGATTCAAGAAATGATGACATGCCAGTTATATGAACTTTGTACACAATTCAAATTAAGAGGGTTTACTTTTCTTATTAGATATTTTAATTTTAATCTTTATCTAGACACCAGAGAATTTTACTATAAAAATTAGTAAAGGCTTTAATAGTTTAAAATTTTATGAAACCTATGATGTAAAATTGATAGACATCAAGAATAGTTTCTAATTCGAGCATTAAAATCATCGTTCATACTATATGCAGGCCCATACATTTGTCTAAGTTTGTTTTGGCTACAAAAGATGAATACATAAGTATTTTATAGAAGACAACAAAGAGGGTAAATGATATGACATTTAAAACATGATCAAGATTATATCCCAAAATTGAAAACAACCAATACCCAAAATCAAACCTATTTGCTCAAAACAGTGAAAATATGGAATGAACCTGATTCCCAGTTCTTTTTTCTCTTTCAGCTCCAGCAAGGTCAATGATAGTCAAAACAGCACCATTTGACTTCGGATTGACCAACCCTTTACATTTTGGGGGATCATCACGAATGTTAATGATGCACTGTGACCGACTGCAGTTACAAAGAAGAAAAAATAAAATCAAAACTTAACATGAAATGATTGTGTGCATAATCTTAGAGAAAGTCTATAACAAAACTTGTAACCCCTCCTTCAAAAATTTCACTGGCGAGTAGCAACTACTTCCTGTACTGTTATTCAAAATAAATCATGAGTTGCACTTCATGGTCAATGTTTTTCTTTTCTTTCCATTTCTGCATGAAATTAACTATAGTATACTAAAACAGGACATGGATTACATGCTACAGAATCTTTTCAAATTTGGCACAAATATTTTCATTCAAGTATACAGGTCACCTCCTACTCACTACTCAGCTCGTTACCAGAGATACACTCAAACAAAAGAACCCACTGCATAGTAGTAAGCATTTCTTTTGAAAAATATTTGCAACTCACTTTCTAAAATACATTTTTAAACACACTTTCTACTGTTGATTGAATTTATTAGAAATCACAAAATTTCATAGGTCTCACCTCTTATTTTATGAGTTCCACTCGTGATTTGTAGTTTTAACAAATTTTAACTGATAGTAGAGAATGTGTTGGAATGAGTGTGTTAAATCGTGTGTTAGCCCTGCTCTTTAAAAAAAATTAAACGATGAAACATTCCTAAATTCCCATTTTACATCGTACCTCGACTGACTGTTAGTGTTTGTCATTGCAGTCGCACGTTTAAGCACTGCTTGTGCTATCAAGGATTCTGCTTGTTCAGCATTAGAGATGAGAGCCTGTTCACACAAAGGCAAGAACACAAAGTCAGCACCAACCATATTACGCGCATCTGTGTAAAGCAAATACACAAACAGATGTAGCTATTAACCTCTTTCAATCCCTTCACGGTCGATTGCTGCATGCTTATTTCACCGCCATCAGATAACAAATCAAACAGTTTCTCTGCTTTACCCCGTTCAGAACATATCTCAAATATCGACATGTAAAAGGTTCTGCAAGTTGCACCACGGTAAAAAAAAAATTGGCATTTCATTCAATCAAACAACAAAAAAGTTCAACAAAAGATGCAAATTATTTTCCAAACGCCAAAGCCTGTCAAGGTGCTATAATGTTTGCGTTGACACTGATAATAATGTTTGTGCTGCCAAATTTACTCATTACATAAGCTTAGTGTGTTTGTAGTGAGTTTTTGCAAAATTTATTTTGAATGAATCTGATTTTACAAAATTGATTACGATATTTTGAGGAGAAGTAAAAGTAAATAAATAGTAAAACTCAATATTAAAAAATTTATCCAACGCCAAAGCTACAAAATTAAATTCCTGGACACTTAAAACTACAAAAGTTACAATGTAAAATTCAAAAACAATTTTTCAAGACCAAACAAGCACTTAGATATCTAGCTCTCAAAATATGGCCTTTGGTCATCAATTTATCATGACTTAATCAAATACAGCACATACTATGTACTAACCGAACATTGAATCTCATAAGAAAGTAAATTACAACCTAATTCAACCTTATAAAACCAATTTGTAAGATGAGGATCATTCTCTACTAATATATACTATTGTGGCCTTGGCTTCTAAGGTGAGAAGATTGTTCCCTACTTATATACTTTATTATGACTTTATCACTAGTTAATTTGGGATCTCCAACACGCGTCCCTCACACCGAAAATTGGACATCTTGAGTGAGAAATTTGCAGGATTGGACATCAATAATCCGATAATGGGTGGGAGTATAGACCCAACAACAATTGATAATCACTAGTATATAGGCTTTGATACTATCTTAAGAGAGTGGATTGAAGTTTAAATCAACTTGTCCAATAGTGGTCTAATAGCATGTGACATGATAGGCTCAAAAACAATCTATAATTGTTAGGAAATAGACTCTGACTCTATCTTAAAAAAATGGATTAGGCTTAACTGAATAAGATGATAATTGTTCTCCATTTATAATCTTATATTTACTATTATGACTATACCGTTAGTTGATGTGGCATCTTCAACCTAATCCTCATACAGCTTAATTTAAAGTTTATGCATAAGAAATGAATTGGAATTAATGGTGAAGAATACCTAGATGCTTGAGTGGCATGTGGCCCAGTGTCCTTGAAAATATGGCGTAGGGCAAGAGGTACCATTCCAGGATCCCTGGGGCTGCCAAACACGGTGTGAGTCTTCCCGGATCCACTTGGGCCCAGTGCAGCCAGCATTCCACTTCTACCACTAAGAAACTCCTCCACCAAAGGTTTCACCATTCTCTCATACACTTGAAACTGAAATCTCCATCACAGTGCTACCGTTAGCTAATAGAAAACGGCAATAACGTAAAGGTGAGAATGGAGAGAATAAGAATACTGTTTACCTGAGATGAGTCGGAAGAGAAAACGTGCGAGAAGCCTCCATAAGTCTCTGATTTGATTCGCTTCGAATCCTGAAAGCTCGAGGGAGTTGATAGCGTCACCGACTGTGAGTCATTGACCGTTATGCAGGCGGTGGAGGTCTTGTTCTTCGAAATTCTAGCCCCCGCCGCGGGAGCGTTCTTTTTGGCGGGGTTCTGAGGCCACGCGCTCTTGGCTCTCACGCGCGGAGCTTGAATTGGCGACGATGGGAGGGGTCGGATTCTGAGGAAAACCTTTAGGTTTTCGTTCTCCGGTTTGGGGAGAGTCGTTGGCGGGATTTCTAGTGTCTGTGCGACTGCGGACGAAACGTCGTCGTTGGGAAATGGCCGGATTTCGGGTAAGACGAAGCTTTGCGGTGTCGCTTTGGGATTGGGAGTGGCGCGAGCTCTCCGAGGAGGGTTCCGACGAACGGTGATTGTGCCGGGGCACGGTGGTGAAGTGTTCGGATCCATCGTGTCCCTCTGCTGCTGAACTCCAAAGAGCGGAAAAGTTTGAGGTTTAAAATTAAAAAACTGATAGCTTTAACTTTTTTTTATGTATATATATACTTGGAATTTGAAATTTTAGCGCTTAAATACTTTTTCTGGTGTCTTTATTTCTTAAGGCCCATTCATCCTAGAAGGAGAATGAAATATAACAAGGCCCATCCCATTCGTTCATAGTTTCATTCCTTTCCTTCACATCATTTTGCATCTTGAATGAATTCAAATATTTGATTTAAACATTTTTTTAAGCCTTTCTTCTTTTTGAAAGGATAAATTAGATTAAATACTTTTAAACAAAATCAAAAATTAAAGAAGTTATTTTTTTAAATAAGTAAAGGAAGTTTGTTTTCAAAAAATATGTGAAATAACTTTTAAACATAGGTTATACGTTTTAATTTACTTTTTTTATCTCGTTGGAAACTAATTGATTTGGGTCGAAAACACAAGGTTTTTTTAGTTTTAAATATGCTTTTATGCTAAGATTGTTAAGTAACTTTAAAAATCTTATATCAAGGGTTAACTTTAAACAATTTTTTAAATCATAAAAAAGTTTAGTCAAACATAATTCAATATAGTGAGAAGATAAATGTGTACACAAGACATTTAAAGGAAATGGTATTTATCCTAGTCCATGTTTATAAATAGTATATGATGGTCAATTTTTCTTCATCATTATATTAATGTAGTCTATACAATCTTATAATAAACCTCTACATTTATTTTATTTTTCCTTCTCCCTCCTCCCTCCCCAACTTCCAATGCTTCACTATGCATCCTTGTAGTTAACACTCGCTAGGAGGGAGGATCATAACTCGTGAAAGAGAAGGGCTAGCAACAAACGAAATAGAGCACGTGGAATTGAGGACAATGGCACAATGTTTCCCTATAATCTCCCCACGTTGCATGTTGTGGTGCTTCCACACAGGACTAAGAAGCTTGCAATCCATAGGATTGCGTTGGAGAGGAACTTCAAGTGCTCAAGGTTGTGCAAGGAATTGGATAAGCAACGAGGTGGGTTTTAAAGAGCAAAGCTTTTGTTTTGAAGGTTTGGATGCAAGTGAGATCTAAGGCAAATGTGTGATTATCATCGATGATTGACTAATCGATTCTTTTAGAAGAATAATGAGTTCTAAAATTAGAGCCTTGTTGTTTACCTATTTGATCCACAAAATCGTCAAAATGTGCTTCGACTCCTTTCCAATGTGGGCATTGCCACTGAATTTGTGTTTCAAGTAGGGCAAAAGATATTGAGAGAGAGAAGAAAGAAATATTCCTACGCAGTTTGCTATAATGAATTTTTTTTAATAAGATTAACTTAATGCTTACAATTCTTGGTCGAACTAAAAAAAAAAAAAAATATTGAAGAAGATATCTTTAAACACATTCCTTCACTATTTAACACTTTTCTTTTACAAGTCTATTGCCATTTTCTCATGATGTAGAACAAGTAATAAAATTGTCTAATTCAGTCACCAATCCTCTAAGGACTTTTTAGGCAGAATGGTTTAAAATAAAACTCAATATAAGATTTAGGTCATAGGAATTGTGTTGAAAGTCGTCACGTCCTTCATAATAACCTTATTTTTAGAATATTTATCTCCCTGTTAGATGGTCTTTGTCACAATTGAGTTCATGAAATAATATGTCATATGCACATCATGTAAACATGAAACAATGTTCTTACTAATGATAATAAAGTTATCATTTGTCTGTCCAACCAAAGTAATTATTTCTTTGCAATAAAGAGTCAAAATTATAGAGATTTAGATCTAACTTATTCAATTGACCCACAAAATTTATCCACCTAACTATGACTTTTATTATGATTAAAAATATTTAATTATTACAATAACTGCTTTATATATTATACGATAAAAATATATTATAAACTAATATATATATATATTATACTCATTCTATCCTAAATCTTTAATCCTTTTAATTTTTTAATCTAAAATAATTGTTTTTTTAATTTAAAGTCTAATTAATAATTTTCAATTATCTAATAAGCATTTAATCCACCAACTATTAATTTTTTTTTACAATAAAAATTTACAAAATCATAAAATTATAAAATAATATTTAATCAATAACAATCACATGCATAAATACATACTAGTCTTTGATTATCAACTTTACATAAACTATGCTTATAGAACGAAAAAATAATAATAAAATTACATGGTATTAATAAAATATTTTAATCTTAATTTATATATCCCAAACCAACCCCGCCTCTACAAAGAAAAAACAAATTAACAAACAGACCCCAACCTTGATTAAAACCATTTTTTTTTTCAATTGAAATTGAAACCGATCGAACAAATACCTACAAATTCGAATTTGCATATCATTGCTACATATACAGTATTACTCCCAGCTTTCCATAGAATGCATTCCCTTACGCTCCCTTGTGTTGTGTATCACTAATTAACAATAACGAAGTTGATACATTATGAAGTTCTCATCGGTCCCTTGAGGATAACTTTTTGATTTTTTATTTTTATTTGTTTTAAATTTGACCCCTTAAGCTAACAATCACGTATAACATTTGTTTATTTATTTAACATCAAATTACTATTCTTAAAAGATTTTTTATACATAACTTTGTAAAATATACGAAACAACAATAAAGTAATAAAAAACAATGTAATGCAAATCAACTTTTTACTGTCATATTAAATATTTAAAAGATCACAAAAAATTATGTACTAAATATATAGAGAGAGCCAAAATGATAATTTGGATTTGTTTTTCACAACTAGTTTCGGGTGTTTTTATCTTGAAAAAAATTAGTTAATGGTAATTATATAAAAGAACATGTCTCCAGTTCTTTGATACATTGTAGCTAGATGACTAGTTAGTTTCTTCTGAAAACATTTTTCAATTTGAATTAGTTTTTTTTATTATTATTAACGCAACGGTTCATATTTTAATATTTACATATACATGTGTTACCATTTGGGATCCTTTTATGCAAGCTGCTCTATGAAGAAAAAAAAACACACACACACTAATACGAGTCCCCCATGGCGGCGTGTCGTGCGGACAATGCAAATGAAAGATTCGATGTTTACTTTCTTTTTCTTTCGTTTTTATAATAGTTTCATTGTTTAAAATTTAAGAATTTATCTTTTTTTTTTTTGAAATTTTCATGCACGTTTAATTATTATGATATTTTTTTATTTATATGTGTTAAAAAATTAATATCTCTCTCTCTCTTCTTCTTTTTGTTGATCTTGTAAATATTTTATAGCAAATGTTGTTTATTCTACAGGCGAGACAATAGTAAATTTGTGTTCTGGATCTGGATAGCTTGACCTAAACTCAAAGACGTGACTGGTGACAGCGAAGAACCGACCTAGAAGAAAACAAAGATTCCACATTTTATTTTGGTACATAAATAGACTCTACGTATTAATATTCCACATTATCACTAGGTATATAGGTAGTATTACTTAAGAGGATTCTATATCCTCCGAATTCGGAATGGAAAATACAGTCCAAACTTTTATAATATTAATATTTTTTAATAAATTTATTATTAAATAATTATTTAATTTAATAGTTTATAATTTAAATTAATGTTTTAATTGTTTGAAATACGATTCGGACGATTCAGTTGGAGGATGCAGAATTTTTCTTAAAATAAAACACCTATCTATCATTATTTGTATTTTTTTCACCGATATTCACATAATATTCCAAAATTAATAATTAAGAATTATTTTTTATTTGTGAAACATGATTTTTATTTATCAAACATCATAAAAATATCATTGTTTGTATTTGAAATAGAAGAATAATAAACATGCATTTCAAAAATAGTGCATGGGACATAAGAAAAAGAAAATAAATTAAAAATTATCAATGCGATAAATGGTGTAAGGAGAAAGAAAAGAGAAATAAGAAAAAAAAATAAAGAGAAAACAAATATCTCTTTCAAATATACTATAATCAAAGGTTTTTTAATTAATTAATTCATTTTTTGACTTTTTTTTTACTTGACTAACTTATTTTTTACCTAACTTCACAATAAATAAATATATATATATATATATATTATTTATTATTATTTACATATTGTTCACGCTTGTTTTATAAAAATAATTTTCACCAGTTTTTTTTATTTAATTATATAAATACATTTTACTTGTAGACAAATTATAATAAATATTAAATTACTAAATCATACAAGAAATAAACTAAAAATAAACCTAAAAACATCTTTGATAATGATTTTTATAAATAATTTATTAAGATTCTTAATTATTTTAAAGGAAATTCATTATATCACGCATTATTTTTAAGTAACTCACATTACATTTTTTAAATTTTGTTTAATGGTGAAATTTTATAAGCAACTCACACTTTTATATTTTTTTTTATTAACATCAAACTTTTTGACAATTTAAAAAATCAATGTAATTGTTATAATTAAATATTGATTTAATTAAACATGTTCCTATTGTAAGTTTGTTGTCATCGTTAGGGTTACTGCATCCGAGATATTGTCTGCTTTGGCACTTGTTGGACCATTATGATTTTGTCTTTTAAAAGGCGTCTCGATGGGTTAAAAAGATCATATGGTATTTATAAATTATCCTTAGCCTCAACTCCTAAACAATCTGAGACTTTTTAGACATATCGGAACAAAATATAATAAATAATATTTTAACATATAAAAAAGTTAATGATAAATTCACACAATTAATTTAATGCGTGTACAAAATTAAATATTAAAAATAATTAAATTATGTTGTAACGACCCGCCATGTCTCACACTGTCTATAGTTTTCAGATACAAGTATAAAGTAAAATCTCACTACTAAACAATTATATATATAACGAGAATACACAACTATAAAGTCTCATAATATATATATAACTGAAAGTAGGGAATAATACCCTATACAACAACTAGGTAGTCAAAAGCTACCAATCAACTTAATACAATGCCAACCCTCCTCCTGAGTCCCAGCCAAAAAGAAGCTCACCCAGTCCAGCAGAGC